TATATATATATATAAGGTTCTCAGTATGCTGAGTGTATTCTTTTCGTTGCATAAGCTCAGCTTATGTGTTGTCCTTATGGAGAAAGGATCTGATTCGATGCCCAAACTAGTTGACCGGGCGAAGATGCTAGCCACTCTTGGGTTAAACAAATGTCGACTAATGAGTGAGCTGAGGAACAAGTGTGAGAAGAAACTCACTAAGAAGTCAAAGCCATTCAATGTAGTGAAGCAGGAGGAGTTGTCAACTCAACCCATCGCTAGAAAGCAACTGGGTGGTTTGGTGGCTGGTTTATCGACTATGACCCCTGTTGAGAGAGAAAATTTACGTACGTAAGACGTACGCAGCGCTGCGTATGCCAGGGAGGTTATTTAGAGGGTATTGAGGGGTTATATCCGCGTTATACTCCCTGTAACATCCCTGTAACCTACCTGTGACTACCTATAACCAACGATCTTATGGATGTAATCGCAACTTACTACTACGGCCTACTTGATCAAAAACGACTTACATGGCTCACAACTTCAACAACTCCCTACAAAGACCTCTACGGTAAACCAACACTCTCCAAGCAACCATCCATGGTCTACAAAGCCAACTCCTGCCACGACATTAAACTAAGTGCTCTACGACAAAATAGCGCTAGGAACACCATCTGCAACATTCATGGCAGACTACTTCCTTTATAGTCATCGACTACAGTCTTAACAGCTCATTATAGCTATTATTGCTGAAGTACCACTGCTCATCAAATTTGTGAAACCATCTTCCATAATTTTAGAGAAGAGTGATCTATGTACTTACTTACGAAAAATCTTTAATACAAATAGATTCCCAACAAACAAATTTTTGAGAGGGCCAAATAGGAACAGATTAGACTCCACGATTGCTCAAGTCCGTCTCTTTCACATCCCTGGACTAATCTTAGGAGTCAAAACACAAACCATGATAACACATAAAACATTCTGGCATATGTAGTATGGTCTATTCTACATATCTTTATCATGGTACAGGACAACAGTTTAACCGAATTTATTTTAAAATAGGGGAGATTATACATACATACATACATACCAATCAATTCTTCTGCATTTATTTATCTCACACTCAAATCTAATTTTTACATCTTTTACCTTATAAAAATTAAAATATATGTGCAAGATAAGTAAATGTATAAGAAAATAAAATAAACTACACCCACCAATTTTTCTTCTGCGGCCTAGTAATGTATCAATCAACCGAGCTCTGGCCATCGCCGGCCACCCGTTTCCGAACATCGTCGATAAATATCTCGATGCTTCGATCCGACGACCCATTAACGGCGATAGCCTTCCTTGCCATCTCCCTCATTGTCTCCGCCTTGTTCCTCATCCGCGCCGCCTCCTCGCCGTCAACAGCCACCGCCACGCAATTCTCCACCGTCTCTCTCGTCGCCGGCGCCGTCAGCCTCACGCCGATTCCGTAGACGTCGCAGAGGAACTTGGCGTTGGTTACCTGATCGCCCCACTGGGGGTAGGCGACAATCGGCACGCCGGCGGTGATGGCTTCGAGGGATGAATTCCATCCACAGTGGGTGACGAAGCAGCCGACAGCTTTGCTGGCCAATACCTTTTGCTGCGGGCTCCAGCCCACAATCATGGCCTTCCCCTCCACGTCCATTGCCTTTTCGAAGCCCTCCGGCAGAAGCCCCCGGACATCCTCTCTCACCTGGATGGGAGTTAGCAAGCAAGCCTTCATTGGTTGAACAAATATTACAACCGGACTCCGGACGTATGAATTTACGTCATATCGAGGTGATAGAAAAATTAAAAAAAAAAATTATTTTAGCACAAAGGAATATTCCTCACATGTTATTTGACGCTATTCAGTTATATTGTGACGGTATTGATGTGTTATTATGTTATGAGCATATTACTGATGTTATAATAACACAATAACACATTAATATCACTACAATAACACATGAATAATGTGAAATATTATGAGAGGAATATTATCTTGTGTTACCGGCCGCGAAAACGAGTTTTTTTTTTTTCTATCAACTCCATATAGAGATGTTTTATTGAACTCCGAACGTATCTCCACATCCAGAATCCAGGCATAATAACTTTCCTCATTGGTTATTTGTATTTTGGAAGATTTACATACATGCCACATAATTCTTATGCCATTATTAGACTTTGATGCCAAAAAGTATCAATGAAAAAATATAATTTACCTTTTAAAAAAAATTATCTTTTGTTATGATGTTGGGTTGGATGTAATATAAAAATATAGGTGTTTTTGGGACTTAAAATTTGACAATTTATTTAAAAATTTAGATTTTTGAGAAGAAATAATTCTTTAATATGTTAAATCAATACTTAAATTAAAAAAAATAATCAAGATTATATTATATTTATATCTTATCATTTTAATATAAATGATATAAAAAAAATATTATGAACTGTATTTTCTTTATTAAAATAATAAAGACTTATTTTTATCTGAAAGGAAATAATCCAAAATCGCAATTTTCAATTAACCGATAATTTTAGATTAGATTTTATTTTATTTTATTTTATTTTATTTTATTTTTTTTTGGGAAAAGATTGCCGGAAAAAGGAGAATCAGAGCAGAGAAATACCACCCACAAAAAGGGCCGACCGGAATTTCTGAGCCCGTAGGCGAATTCCGCCATCTCGTTTGCGGGAAGCATGACGACGCTTCCGAGGGAGACGTAGACCACCGAATTGGTCTCCTGAGTAGCGAGCCAGTCGAGACAGTGATCCGCAGATTTCCATAAATCGGCTTTAATCTCCTCCTGCTCGAGCTCCTCGCCAACGTCGACTAAGGGCCCTATCGGAATGATGGGGGAAATTTCTGCGAAGACAGTTAGGGTTTCGTGCTCGAGCTCATCGAATGAGTTGGAGAAGATCCACCGGGCCTTGGAGATGTTGTGGAACTGAGCGAGGATGGCCTCTGTTAAGGACTTGTAAGGGTTGGATTGTAGGATGAAAGTGGGGAGCTCGTCGGGAGCTATGGGTGGGATGCCTGGGAGTTGGACTAGGGTTTTGAGGGTTTTATCTGTGGGGAAATTGGCCAGACGATGGTGAAAATGGTAGTAAATGGAGAAGACGGCGCAGGATTGGATCCATAGAACGGCGCTGGGGATGGAAAGTTCAGCGGCGACATCGAGGGCCCAAGGGATGAAGGGATTGTTGACGAGGCAAGATACAGGGCGGCCGGCGGCGGATTGACGGCGAATGAGATCGACTAGGGCAGAGGGGCCGTTGGTCTCGAGGTTTGTCATAAGGTACGAGAGATCTTTAATGGAGTTTTTGGGATCGGCGCCATCGTTGAAAAATTCAAACCGGAGGAAGCCGAGACCGACGGGGATGAGGTCCGAGTCGGATTCGGTGGGGAAGATGAGTTGGGAGGCGGCGCGGATGCGTGAGCCGAATTCGATTGTGGTGGTGAAGGTGACAAGGAGGCCTTTAGCGGCGACGCGCTTGGCGAGGCGGAGGAGGGGGTTGACGTGGCCTTGACCTGGGAAAGAGACGAAGAGAAAGTGGAGAAGAGGGTTGGCTTCGCCCATGGAGGTCTGCAGTGGTGTGATGGCTACAGAAGTAAAGCTGAGCTGAGTTCTCTATGCATCGTATTTTTATAGTGAAATGGAGGGGTAGAAGCCCGCCGAGTTCGGGATGGGGAATCGGTCGCCACGTTCGGCACGCTGGAGAGTAGAAGGTTCGGTAGGTTTCTGCTTGCTGTTATAGGTTATGAGAGACCAGTAGTTGGATGAACAAAAAAAATTTAGGTGGTGGTTTGATCTAACTAGTGAGCTTATCTTAGTTTTGGATTCAAATCTGTCTGTCCAAGATATAGAACATTGGCACCCAGAAAATGTGATTAACAGAGGGAGAGAGCGAGGTGGACCCAAAAGATCATTTACATGAAAGGACTCTTCTATTTATAACTGATAGAATGTCTTAAAAGTAAATTATAATATTATCCTTTAAAAAAAATTAGTGCATGATATTTTAGTTTTTTGTGTTAGTGTGTTTTGCTGGGTACCTCTTCGATCGCTGGATTTGTTTATGTCGGGGGGAGTGGTCGGGTGTCGGTGGCAGGTTGGAGGGAAAAGCGGTCGTTTGTAGGAAAAGTTGATTGATTGGAGAAAAGGGCGGCCAATTGAAGAAAAGGCGGCTGGAGAGATGATTGGGAGGAGGTCGATCAGCTGGTGAGAGTTCCTTGGCTTAAAGTGGTCGATTGGAGTGGGTTGGAGAGAGGGTCTAGTTATCCACCCTTGATTCTTCATGGGTCGCTGAATCACACTTAACATGCAATTTCAACATGTTCTTCTCTTGGTATGTCAGATTGCCTCGAGATTTGAGCTGACACATTTTTTGTATATGCATTTAGTTCTCTAATTTTCTTGTTCCTTAAAAGCAACAGATGCGACAATGACAAGAAAATTTATAAAGCAAAAATCATGACTCAGTAAATATACCCACTATTTTGGCACCTTTTGTGCTTCGTTCTGGCATCTTTTGCTCTATTCGCTGTTAATCGGACCTCAAAATGGTCATTACCCATCGCGGAGCTTGTCGTTATCGGTTGGTAAATCGTTTCTGGGGTTGAAGATGATCGTCATACACGCCTCACGGAGCCTATCCCTATCGAGTGGTGAATCATCTTTGGGGCATGTTGACCTTATTTTTATGAGGTATGTCTCTCTCTAGAGCCTAGGATCTAGTCATAGGACATTTTTGTTGACTCTCTTAGAGGACTAGTATTGAGACTCACACTACTTAAAACTCGAACACATTCTTAACTCCTTGTAGTCTTATACGAGTAGTTTCAAGTCCTTAACATTTAGTTGAGTCGATTGAAACCAACATATTGAAACTCAAGTTGAGTCCCCATAAGAATTGGAGAAGCCATAAGGAGGCCCTTCGGCGTGTATTGAGCGGCTCGCTGTCAAAGTCATTCTGCTTTTGGCTATCATTTAAGCGAGGACCGATCGACATTTTCTGGCTGGATAGCTCTGATCGGACCAAATGACTTCATTTGTCACGTCATGTGCAGATCAAATTTAAATTGACATGATCATCTAAGAATTTCTTCAAACGACTCTGGATGACGAAACAGGTCGTGTAAGCGCGTCCGGAATGACAATTTTATTTAAAAAAAAGTCACCCATATTAATTTAATTTCATGCACGAGCCAATAATACACAAATTGAAATTTTTAAAATAATAATAATAATAATAATACATAAGAATCTTTATAAAAGGAACTCACATTTCTCCCTTCACCCCGTCCTTTTCACACGATAACTTAAGCCAAATCCATCACACTCACGCAATGCCCTTGCTTCTCGTCTTCCTTTTTCAACCTGGCGGAAAGGTGGAGGCAGTTATAGATAGAAGAAATTGAGAAAATGTGTGCTTTAGGATTGGTGCGACGGTGATTCCTGTAGTTAAGGAATTTCATGCAAATTTAAAAGAGTATTCATATGATAAATTGTTTGTGAGAGGGAAATATGTGGATATGTCTGCTCGTAGTTTTAATCAACTCTTTAGCTTGGAGGTTCATCCAAATGATTTCTACTCTAACTTCAAACCCAAAGATTCTAAATTGGAGGAGATTGTTAGTTATTTGACCAATGGGAGGGGGATGCGGAATATTTGAGAGAAAAGAAAGATAAACTTCCCTACTACTTCTATGAATGTTGAGTTGAAGGTTTGACATTTTTATTTCAGCTAATCTCCTTCCTTCTACTAACCTTAGTGAAGTCATTCTGGAAAAAGCCATCCACAATTTATATATTTAAAAGGAACATACAATTGATGTTGAGGAACTCATTCATAATTCTATTAAAATTATGATGAGGTATGGGTCTACTATTAGATCAGGACATCCCTCCACCATTTTTGTTTTGTGTGTTGAGGCAAGGTTGAATTACAAGGGAGGAATTATTGCCCCATTAAGGAAATTGAGAATCGAAGCATCGATGTGTAACAGTCATTCCTCTAAAGCAGTGTTTAAGCAGGGTGAAAGTTCTTCTAGGGCTTCTTTTTCTTCAAGACCACACCCCTCTATTTCATTTGCTTCAATTGTTGAGCAGTTGGATAAACTTGAAGAGGATACCTCAATTATTCAATCTGAAGTTTACAATAGGGCAGATCATTTATAAAATATCGATTTGTAGAATCAAATTCAGGCTAATTATTATGAAAATTATAATGCGGCCCAAATTGAATTGTACCGTAGAAATCAATGGTTAGAAGAGCCTGATCTGGTAGTGTTCCCTGCTTATCCTCCTTATGTTGTGTATGATAACATCTGCCAACCAATGGAGGAAGAATATGAGGAATAGGAAGATGAAGAAGAAGAAGAAGAAGAAGAAGAAGATGATGATGAAGTAAGGGGGGTGAGTGATTTGGCTGCTCCTTTGAAGTTTTAGTTGATTTGAGCTTTGTGTGTTGCTGACTTTTGTGATTTGTTTGATTGCTACTACTTCTTGTTTTACTTTTGTTGATGTTATGTTATTTTTTTGTTGTAATATAACTAATAGTACTGTGATTTAGATTTTTTTTGTGTTGTGTATCTGTTTATTTTTATATTTGGACATTAATTGATGTAACTAATTTGGACCTCTTTATGGTAGTTTAAGTTAATTTGTTGTTATATTTCTATTTGTTATTGTTGATACTACGTGTTATATATATGTTCTTAAATTATTGGATTGTACAGGTGTTGCGGGCAATTGTTGTTATTATTCTCTATGTCATTCATCATGTTTTACTTTTGTACTTCCATGTGATAAAAGTTTGGGGGGGGGGGGGGGGGATATGGGTCCTATTCAAATATTTTTCCTTTATTGTTTGATTTTTGTTGACAAAAGTAAAGTGGGTATGAATTTGGGATAACAATCCAAAAGGAAGGGGATACATAGATAAATGAAATTTGGACTCTATTGGAATTAAACTGAAATACATAGATAAATTATTATGTCATGTTCAATTATTTTTCCCTTTGTAAACAAAGTATTATTGTTTGATTTTTGTTGACAAAAGTAAAGTGGGTATGAATTTGGGATAACAATCCAAAAAGAAGGCGACACATAGATAAATGACATTTGGACTTTATTTGAATTAAACTGAAATACTTACAGATTGATCTTTGAAATTCAACAAATGATTATTTAATCGACACATTTAATTTAAAAAAAAGATTTATTTATTCAGTTAATTGCAACTAGATGTGTTTCTTTTTGAAAATTTAGCCTTCACCTAAGTTGAATTTTATGTTAATAATTTGTAACTTGTAAATCAATAAAAGAAAGGGATTGTTGGAGTATTTTAAATTAGGGAGATTGTAGTAGAATTCAGAATCATTAAAATGCTATTTTAGGTAAAGTAATCATCTATGAAGTGTATGAAAAAAAAAGATTACCTAAAAGAAATGGGATTAAAATTAATAATCCTAAGGAAAGGAAGAGGAAATACATAGAGGAGAAGCTTAAGAAGAAGCCTTAACAAAAATTGGTTTTGTTACTATTTCTCTAAAATTGAAAACTCCATAACATTCCTTAATTTGCTTTAGTTTAAATATTTATGAATTATTAGTTGATCATCAAATGAGGGCTAAAACTTTATAATTCAACATCTAGATTGTATTAGCTTTGCATCTACTAAATCCCTTGAAATGAATATGAGATTAAATAAGATTTGAAGAGTTGAAAGCTTCATGAAACATGTATGACAAAATAATTCAATAGAGGCTTATTGTTCATTGTCTATGTATCCTTGAAAGTTTGATTGTAGGAGTTCACTTATGAAAACTCATTCCTATTACGTTCAACATGATCAAATGTTTAAGTTTTGTTGTTACTTGAGGACAAGTAACCTTCAAGTTTAGGGGATTTTGACATGGGCATATAGTTTGTGTATTTGACATCTATATTTTGTCTATTTGTATGATTATGTTGTGTTTTGGAAGGAATTATATGTTGAAATGCAGGTAACAGTTGAATGGAGCAATCAAAATTCAAAATAAGGTAAAATGAGCAACATTGTGTTCTAGCGCCTAGGAGCTAGGATTAGGCATATAAGCGCCACAAACAACCCTTAGAATATCCATTTCTCAAACAATTGTAAACTTGGCAAAGTGAACATGGTGTTGGGGCACTGGTGGCAAGCGTTGAGGCGCTGATCTCTACTGCCTAGGCACTCGAACTGCAAAATTTTTTAGCTAATTTTATGATCGCTTAACATCCTGGCGCTACGAATGTAGTGCCTAAGCGCTGAAGTTGAGCAGAAGTACGGCTCCCTAAGCCTAGGCGCCCAGATGCAAAAATTGCTCATTTCAGCAGTTAGATATGTCAGTTCACCTGAATTAGCAGGTTGAAGACAATTGGAGAGGCTCTTTCCTTACTTTTCTGACATTCTAAAGAGAGGAACAAGAAGGGTGAAAGCTAAAAATGATTAATCAAGTAGAGAGAAACAAGAAGGGTGAAAGCTAAAAATGATTAATCAAGTAGAGAGAAGTGAGAATTGAAAGACTTTGAAATATTGTATGCTTGTAATTTTAACTTAACAAGAGTAAAGGAATGGAGATAAGTTATGGATTTCTTATTTTGTGATTTTTTTTCATCTTCTTTGTAAGACTATTGTAGTTCAATTTCTCTTTCAATCAAATGATGAAGTTGGTTTGTTCAAGCATGCTTAGTGAGTAATTTTCTCTTTCTTCCTTGAGATGGGA